TTCATGTGAGAAGTCTAAGTAAACCATGGAAGTCTATGAAGATGAAAACATTATATATGGTAATGTGATATAAGCTTCAGTTGTTTCACTTACAGAAATAGTCACCTATGCTTCTGCTTTGCCACTCACAATTTACCTGCAATTTCTTGTTGTGTAAAGAACATTCTTATAGCATTTTGTACTTCTTCATTTCTCAGGGTATAAATAAGTGGATTCAGCATAGGTGTCAAAATGCCATAAAATACTGCCATGCTCTTATCTACGGGTAAAGTAGATGATGGACGCATGTAACTGAATATACAGGGCACAAAGAACAAGGTGACCACTATGAAGTGGGCCCCACAGGTAGAGAGGGCTTTGCGTCTCCCCTCTGCACTGTGGGACCTCAAGGAGCACAGGATGACAACATAGGAGGCAGCCAACATGACGAAGTTCAGCAGGCAGATCACACCGCTGTTGGCCACCACCAGCAGACCAATAACAGAGGTGTCCATGCAGGCGAGTTCCAGGAGAGGGTACAAGTCACAGACAAAGTGGTCGATCACATTGGGCCCGCAAAAGGGCAACTGAAGGACCAGGAAGAGCTGAACTGATGAATGCAAGAAGCCCCCCAGCCAAGCCACTGCCACCAGCACTGCACAGAGATTTCTGGTCATAGTAGTCATATAGTGCAGGGGCTTGCAGATGGCCACATAGCGGTCATAGGCCATCACTGTGAGCAGAATGATTTCAACACCACCCAAAAAGTGGGCTCCAAAGAGCTGAGCCAAGCAGCCCTCATATGAGATGGTTGTGCCCTCAGACAGGGAGTCAGCGATGAGCTTAGGAGCCATAGAGGAAGAATAGCAAGTGTCAATAAAAGAGAGATTGGCCAGGAAAAAATACATGGGGGAAGCCAGCATGGAGCTGACAGCGATAGTGACCACAATAAGCATGTTGCCACATACCGTGATCACATAGATAACCAAAAAGAACACAAAGAAAACTCTTTGTACCTCTGGCTTCTGTGAGAGTCCCAGCATGAAAAATTCCGTAAGATTGTGTTGTACAGCCATAGATTCCAAGGACACAGAGCATGCAGTTATAGCAGTGTCTGTAGAGAAAAAAGCATACAAGCCTTAACTCCAGGGTGAGAATATTGCAAGGATTCCCTTGACACATCCTCTTCTTTTTGACCTTCCTAACGCCCTTGTTATAACCAAGTGACCTGTTAACCAGAAGACGTAACCATATGTCTATTAACATCATCATCACTAGAAACAGATTTTTAACTTGTTAGCTGAAATCAGTAACTTAATTATCTCCATTTGCAATTTTTGCTACAGATAAGGTTGAACACTTGACAGACAGGTTTTCTAACTGAAACTTCGGTGGTACCTCTCTGACATTTTTTTCAGAATGAGTAAAATGGGATCGGAGAAAACTGTAAATATTTAAGATCTCTCCAAATGCGTGCATAGCTGACCCAGTTAGACCTTCCTCCCTGGACTTCACAACAAGCTTGCTCTACAGTGATTTGGTTTTTCCAGTGGTGACATCAGCTGAAGAAGGACAAGCTGGCTCCAGACCAAGGGAAGCTCACTTAGCTGCCGTGGAAGACACCCTTCTTCCTGCTCAGCCACTCCTGACCCACACAATATCACATCTGTGAAGCCAACCTAAGTTACTTCCTGCCGTGCTGACACGTTTTGTGGCCTTCCAGGCTTTGCCGTGCTGAAATCCATCTACTTCGGTATGGCCAGTTCTTCCTCAGTCTACAAGAACATCCAAGGTCTTACGTGATTATCTGCTGCATAAGAAATGTACAAGGACAGAGAAGGCAGATGCCTTATATTCACCCTCAGGAAACTGTAATCTCATAGAGCAGAAATTGCCTGTTTATTCATTATTCTTCTTGTCCTTTTACATTTTTTAATTAATTAAGTTCACTGGTACATTTTAGGTATACACAGTGATCACATTCATCATAGGGCATTTGTACTGTAAATTACATATCTTTATTCTTTTTCCCCACTCTCCTCCCCTCCCTTCAAGACCTCTCCTCCTCTCCTTATTTACAAAAGCTTTGTTTCCATTTTTTCTCATTCTTTTTTCCCTTCCTTCCTCTCCCCCTCTCTCCTCCCTAAATTCCCTTCCTATTTGAACATTTTCTTCCTATTTCTGATATCTACTATACATCACTGTGCTTATTTGTACTTTGGGGGGGTGAGATTTTTTTATTAATTTTATTGAGAAAGAAATAGCAATGAGACAGTTTCAAAACTGGTTAGTAGTGGGGCCGGGGAGATGTCAGTGGATTAAGCACTTCCCTGGCAAGTACAAGGGCCTGAGTTCAATCCCCTGTTCCACCAGAAAAAAAAAACTGATTAGTAGTACAGTTATAATGATTAATACATTACATATTGTTGATTTCATAGTAGTTATTCATAGTACAAGATGCAGACATGATATCTTGTCTAAACACTTAGTTCAAAACTTCCTTTTTCATTGAACTAAGAGAAAGTAACTGCATTCAGTTCTTCGTGAAACATAATAAATGCATTCATCTTGGGAAATGGATACATAATGCATCTTATTCCTTTATTGTTCTAAAGATATTAAAGAAATGTTTGTTCTTGTCTTGGTTTTTCTTTTTTTTTTTTTTTTTGTTAGAACCCTGCCCATCCCCTATCCTTTTCCTGAAATATACAGCTTTTAGAAAGTAGCCAAGACCTCCAATTTTCTGAAGATCTAATGTTCCATACAGCAAGTAAAAGAAACTATCAAGTGTCTTAGAGACAAGCAGACATAAAAAACACAGGAGAAAAGATCCTGTGCTGGTCCTGAAGCTGCTCCCCTTTTTCTCTCTATGCAAATAAGCTTCTTGAAAGTGAAAGCTCTGGTGGGGACATTTGTGGAGAACTTTTAGCCAAGAGCACGGACAACAGTTGTACAAATACCTGCTTACTTAGTACAAAGACCTGCTTAGTGTCCACCAAACACAGCCTGCTCTTCTCCTCTTTGCGCCCTTCCTCCACGGTAGATTCTTCTTCCATTCTCATTCTGCTGAGGAAGAAAGTGAGACACACATCGCACAACTTTGAAGGGGGGTCTTGAGGACTTTCCTTCCCCTCCCAGGTCCCCTATCGTTGGGAGGGAAGCATAACCCAGAAATGAGTGGCAGCGCTGGAGGCGGCACCAGGCTGTCTCCCCAAGGGCCGGCGGGCTTTCCTGAACTGGGTTCCTGTGCACATCCGGACGTGAATCCTCCTGTGCCTCCTGTCCATGTCACCGCGGACTGCTCAAAGCCTCCGCGGCCTTATTTATAAAATGAAGAAAACAGTGCTGCCAATTCTTACGTAGCAATCTTAAAACCAGCGCTGTTTCAAGTAAAAAAGTTTTAACTGTTTATGCTTATATTTTTTCTTTTCTTTTCATATTTTGACCAATTTTCATACTCATATCTGGAAACCTGAATAATTTATTTGAAAGCAACAATATGCGATATAACAATTACTATTCAATTCCTGTACTGTTTTTTCTTTTTTGTTTTGTGTTTTTTGGGTTGTGTTTTTTATTTGTTTTTCTGTATTTAATACAAGGTCTACAGGGTCTCACTACATAAACCGGACTCGTAGTAATCCTCCTGTTTTCAGCCTCCCAAATGCTGGGATTACAGGCACACGCCACCACATCCAATCTCAATTGCCCTCTCAACATGCCCGGGGCCGGGGCTGAATTCCTATACTTTTGTTTTTTCTTTTGTTTTGTTGTTCTTTTTGCTTTTAGGGAACAACAGGGTGTTCAGGGTCTCACTATTAGATCAGACTCATAGTGATCAGCCTGTTTACAGCCCAGTCCCAATTGCTGCCTCAATGCACCCTAAGGTGGGGCGGGCACTGCAGGCCCCAGATCAAACTCCCAGCCCCTGTGCCTGCTAGCAGGCGCTTTAATCCGCTGAGCTATTTGGCCGGCCCTCTTATACTTTAATGAAATTCTGTATCGTTTCTTTTTTTTTTCTTTTCAAAGCTTTATTGATAAACATATAGCAATGAGACAGTTTCAAATCAAATCGAAAGTACAGTTTCAACAAATAATACACTGCATATATTCTTCT